ATTCAAATTTAAAATTATTTTTGGATTTGGCACTATTTTTAACTTTGGTGCCACCTAAAAAATTGAAAAAAAAAAAAAAAAAATAGAAGCAAAAATCCGCAACCAAAACGAAGTAGCTAAAAATTTATTTATATAGAATTGGGACAGCAATTCTTTCTTAGATTTGTATGTCAAGCCGTTTTTGCTGCAAGAGAGTCTTCATTTTTTTATGCCTAGTTTTGTGTATTAATCTAGATAACCCATTTGTGTTCTATTTATTTATTAAATAAAGCAACTCTTACACGCTAAATATGTTATTAAGCTTGTGGTTGAGTTCTATTGGTCGCCATAGTTGTTTACGGAATACAATATCGAAGCAACCACGGGAAACATCATCTTTCAAAAGATGTTTGAATTATACAGATTTAAGTTTTAGCTTTTTGTTTTAAATTTGTAGTTACCTTCTAAAAATCTTCTACTCAATTTAAAAGACAGGACTCACTGATTTTCATACGATTTGGCAAGGCCGATAATACAAACAGATGCGAAAACAAGAAGAGAAACAAACAATAAGAAAAAACCTCAAACAATTTAAATGGATTATGTGTTTACACTTCAAATGGGCGGGATACAAAAGCTTGGATAAAAGAACATCAGTACGGGTAAGAGTAAAACGGTGGTAGTGGTAAAGTTGTAAATTGATGGTAGGTTTTTATCCATCAAATGGGCAAGGAGTAGGAGGCAAAACAGGCTGGCCGTTAGCCGCAATATCTCCAGTCGGGCGTACGAACTAACAAGTTCAAGGCAGCGCACAGTGGTCGGTCTTGTATAGAGAAGGCGGCCAAAAATACTTCCAGTAGGAATATCGAGTTGAAATTTTTTTTTGTAGGTAGGTATATAATAGCGTATGAATGTTATATTTTAAGTATCAGCACCATTAACGCCAAATATATCCCCTACCATCGTGTTTACCATAAAATTTTCAAAATTTGACTCCCAAATGCACACTACACTTTTTTTTAAGCGTAACTGACAAAAATTATATTTATTAATTTAATTTAATTTATTAATTTTGGTTAAAAAATAACAAAAGATAACAAAAAACGATGATTAACATAAATTTAAAGTAATATAAGAGTAATATAAAAAAAATTTTGTAATATATATTAGAAATGGTAACTCTAGAAAATCAAAAACTGATGAAAAACGAACGAGGCACTCGTCTTCTTTAACAGATTGTGAACGGATTCGCAAATATTCGCAGGTGATTTTCACAGATAACACTAAATAAATTTTGATTAATATTTTTTAAAAAAATTCATTACTGACCGATTTTGGGATCACAACTTTTACCTTTGTAGAATATTGAATTTCTATTCTGCAGAACTTGAAAATTTGCGGTGGATAAACAATTATTGTTATAGTCACATATAGCATGCAAAATTAATAAAAATTATATAAACACAATCTACAAACCTTCACTTTCGGATTTTAAAAGAGTGTTTTATATTATTTTTTAACCATTAACTTAACGATTTCAAAATTCATGCGCAAGCTTTCAGTTGATCGATTGGTTTGCGCGCTCACTTTGCGTCCCAATTTCTCCGCGAATATGTGGAGCAAGACAAAACTAATAATTGCTTTTAAAGCCTTGTTCTATTGATAAACAGATGCGCCAAACTTGAAATCAAAATTCCAAAATTGATTTTTTGATTTTTGGCCTATGGGACCGACCACTGTGCAGCGGGGATAAATGGAGCGGATGGCCCGGATTGAACGTTTATGTTTCTGTCGTTGGTGTCGGCGCAGCTTGTATAAGGATTACGCTTAAATACAAATTTGTAACAAACTTTTGTATTCATGGTCCGTCAGTGTGTGTATTCATAACTTTTCCTGTGTTTACTTGGTTGTTTGTTTGTTTTATGGTTTTTACAAATGAAATGATTTTTAATGAACTAAAGTTTTTAATGTGAGCTAAATAAAATTTTAGGGACCGAAATTTGAAATTTTTAAGCCAGTTTTGGGAATGTTGCACCTGACAACTGCATTGTCAACTTCAGCGATACAATCAATTGACTTACGAGTACGATATAGTACATAACTATATACAGCTTCATAATTATCAAATGTTTTAAAAAGCGTGTTATTTAAAGACACAGCAGTAAATATTGATCTCTCCGAAAACCAAAGAGATTTTTATTTGGAGATTTGGAGAGATTTAAGGAATATGCATATTTTTTGTCCTCGACAGTTGAAAAATCCGTTTCCAATTCTCTTCTTACTTGTAGCAAGATGATTTTGGTTAAAGAGTTTTGTTTAATAGAAGGATTTTTGCTTTCGTCCAAAATTAATACTCGTAAGGTGAATTTTTTATTTAATCATCGCGGGCTAAACATTTCGGACCATTTGGGTCTACGAAAAATCAAATGGTACCGAAAGCGCTAAATTTCTAAATATGATGCTTACGATCCTGAAACAACAATCAAGCAAATATCGTGCTAAAGGCCTGAGCTCAAGGTCATGATGAAAGGTTTTTCGATTTAGGTGGTATGGTGCACTATGAGTCCCCAAACTGTTAATAAAGAATATAATTTATGCGTTATGCGTCGATTTCGTGAAGCAACTCGTCAAAAAACCACAATTATGCGCCAACTCACGCCAAATTCACCTTACTTTTTGCCCACAGTCAAACCAAAAACCGAAGCCCTAATAAACATTTTAGATATTGAGCAGCATGGTGTTTCTACATTTCCAAAATCCAGAAGGACTGTAAATATGGAAAGGATAGAGCGGCCTTCAGTCAATAATCCAGAGTAGGCAACAATTTTTTGTTGTGACCTAATATTTAAACTGGCAAATTTCAGAATTGGCTGAAAAGAAATCTAAGATAGTGCATGTAATTGGCCTCGTTTTCTGTAAGCATTATTCGGAAAATGTAAAAATCTAATGCTGAGACTCAGGGGCGTCGCCAGCCGATGGCGCAGGGGGGGGAAAAGTTGACTTTACCTACTACAATTCATACCTTTCTCGTTCGATAGAAAAGTAGGGTTATATTGTTTAAATTTTACCAAGGATCCCTAATTTTTTCAAAATGAAGGCTACATTTCATTTTGAAAAAAATGTAAATGAGTTTTAACATTTATTAGAAAAATAAAATAAAAACGAGTTTGAAATCTCTAGGGGGTTGGCAGTAGAGGTGGAGAACTATCGATAGTCTGCGCCATCGATAGCGCTTGATAGTTTTCATAAACTATCAACTATCGGCGATAGCAAAGAAAAGCTATCGTCGATAGTTGTCGATAGTGCAGAGTACACTCAAAAAAAATAATTTAATTAGTGTTTCTAATGATATTTATTTATATATAAAGTATTTATTTATAAAATATGGCATTGGTTTTCCAATCTTTATCTGAAAAGAATAAATAATTATTATTCGAATAATATGATTTTAATTTTTTAGGCTTACCTTAACTGCTTTCTATAAATTTAATTAAATGTATACGTTTTTCTTTAATTAAATGTATACTTTTATTATTATGTATTTATCTTTGTGAAAAACAAACGCATGTATGTATATATGCGTATGTATTTCACAACAAACCGTAATAGCAGTAATGGCATCTCACGTAACACTTTTGTTATTGTCACACAAAATTTGGCTTTTAACTTTATAATACAAATTTACAATATAACAACAAAATAACAATATCTTACCTATTTGGAGAAAACGATCCATTATGTTTTTAATAACAATTTATAAAACTCTGTAACAAATTCGCGCAATTTCTTTTCCTTTACACTTTTAACGTAGACATTGGAAAACCAAAATATCGATAATAATCGACGATAGCGATTGACCACTATCGAGAGTGCGCGCAACTATCGATTGCGTATCGATAGTGGCAAACCATCGATAGTCCCGATAGTGCCATCGATAGTTCTCTACCTCTAGTTGGCAGCTGCCCCTCCCTGCCCCCCCTTGGCGACGGCCTTGCTAAGACTGCTTTCAAAACAAGGTCAATTTTAGGTTTGTTTAGATTTGTACCATATTCCCCATAACAGAAAAGTTTATTTTGTAAACTGTCATTAGGGCAGAAAAGTCACTGATTACTCTAATATGATTATTATAACCCTTAAAACAAGCTAATCTTCTCAACGTGCATTTCATTGGTCTTTATGAACTCCCATAAACTTTTTATCGGTGTGAATGACCGTTTTGAAATAGCTACAATACTTCACAACTATGAAAAAAAAAAAACATTTAGACTACTCTCAAAAAGCATTAATTATAGTGCTTTAACTAATTCATTTTTACCGCTCGGGTGTTTTTTATTATACCCTTGCAGAGCAAAGGGTATTATAATTTCAGTCAGAAATTTGCAACGCAGTGAAGGAAACACCTTAGACCCCATAAAGTATATATATTCTTGATCAGCATCACGATCTGAATGGAAATACGTCTGTACGTCTGTCCTCTTGTCTGTTTCTACGCAAACAAGTCTCTCAGTTTTAAACCTATCTTGCTGAAACTTTCCCAAAAGGTGTGTAGGTATTGCACGCAGTATATAAGTCGGAACGGGCCGGATCGAGCGACTATATAGGATAGCTTCCATACAAGAGATTGAAATACAAAATTCTAACGCCGTTGTTTTTGATCAGATCGACTTGATTTCCTCCAGATGGCGTTTTGTAACTTTTTTTGAATTTCGAATTAAATTTTATCAAAATTTTATAACACAATCATATAGCGACCATAGGAAAGATTGGAAAATTAATGTAGAAATAATTGAAAAAAAATGATAACGTCATTGTTTTTAATCCGTAAGGCATTCTTTGGAAATATGGAGCTTTTTAATACCCCTGAATCAATAAAAAAATTTCATTAAAATCCGACAACGTTCGGCTTGCCGAAGCTAGCTCCCATTTTGGTTTGAGATTGGTTTAATTGAGTTTCCGCTAGAAAATGCAATAAATGCAAAAAGTATCTTAAGAAGAATAGACTTTCAAATTTAAAATCTCACCTTATCATACAGCACAAAGTCGATTTACGTTTGTCGAATCTAGAAAATGTTTAATCGGCATCAACAATTTCGTCCAATAAAATAATACGGAAAAAGAAATAAAAAATTGAAGTTAATTAAAAACATCTTTTAAAAACTTGTGTTGGATTTGTAACGGAGAATAGCATTCCTTTTAATGTTTTAAATTCACAAAATATAAGAAATATCGTCCAATTTGTGGAGGTATTAAAACTGCAGTTAGAAAATATTACATTAAATGCAGTAAGCGGAAAAAATACATTGGAAATATTGTCAAATAATAAAAGGTCTGACATAACAAATAGGTAGACTTAAAATTAGAAGGTAAAGAATCAAGAGGATCTAAAAATCTTGCCGCTGAGGTGTTGAAAGTGCTTAATATAATATATATGGAGGATTGCCAACTCCGAAGAGCGATTCCAGAGGTCTTTATTTAACAGAACATCTGATTCTATCGCATTAGGTTTAACAGAGGGGAGCGTCAAGAGAGGGAAATATAAGAAGTTGAAAGGAGTAGACAATGAGCTTGAAAAAAAGAAGGTCTTGTGTTCCCTAAGAAAAGAAACTTGTAAAACGAAGGGTAAAAACTGTAAAAGCTGCATATCATATCTATATTAAACAAATTGTTTATATTACATCAAATGAATCGTAGTCAAAAAGCCTTTCTCTACATGTATATAACATAATTTTAACTTTAATTTTAATAAATAATAGAATTTAATTTTAAGTCAAATAGTCTCCATTACTTTTAATAACGGAGCATATATGGTTAAAACTGTTGAAATTAGTTCCAATGTTCCCATTTATTAACATATGTATGTAAACAACAGTATGTAAGAATAACATCTGCAGAGAGAGCTTTGAGAGAACAAACTGTTAAGCTATGTTAATGAGTCGTTACAGGGAAGTATGGCACCTGGGTAATCCAAATGCGCAGTGTGCTCATCCATGCAGAGGAAGGTGATCCAGGGGCAGCGGCCAGATGGAGATGACGGAATATGGAGGGGGACTCGATCAGAAGGCATTAGCTATGATAACACTAAGCGTAAAGCAGACACAGCTGGGTTATCTTAAGAACTGTGCCACGCGGGATAGTTTGTCCTTGGTAGATGTGTTGAAGGTTAAATTGCTTGCAGAAGGAGAAAAAAGGAACAGCGAAGCAAGAGAAAGATCGGAAAATGAGCAGTTAGCTTTTCATGCTAAGTTGCATCCGGACAACACAAAGAACAGGAGAAGAGACAAATCCAACGTGGAATGTTATAATTGCGGACAGCGTGGGCATTATAAAAATCAGTTTAAAAGGCAAGTCAATAACGAGCAGTCAAAGCGGAGCTACGGCTCATATGTGTTGCGTTCGAAGTCTTTTTACCAATTATGTTCCGCAAGCGTAATGAGAGCAGTTGGAAAAGGTGACGTAACCGTAAGAACAGATTACTGCAACCTGGCACTGCAGAATGTTTTACACGATGAAAGGGAATTTCATATTTATTAATTGCGCAGTTTATCGAGGTTGGACTGTGACTTTTTGCAGAGACTATGCGACTGTATACCAAGATGGAGAAGAAGTTTTGAAAGCGTGCAGAAAAAACAAATTGTCTATGTTTGAGAGCAAAAGGAATACTTGTTTCAGTGCCATACAGATCAGTGCAGGTCTATGGCATAACAGATATGGACATTTAAATTATGCCAGTTGGAACGACTTAGTAAAACTTTCGATGGTTCAGGGCATTAATGGAGTTAATTTTTTAGAAAAAAGCCAGTGCTTGTCATGCATAAAGAGCAAGATACACACAGAGCCGTTTCCAGTATCGAAGAACAGAGCCAAACGTGAGCTGGAGGTGATCCATACAGATGTGTGTGGGCCAATGGAAAAGTAAACTTTTGGAGGAGCATCATACTTTGTCACATTTATTGATGATAAGACCCGCCGTGTATTTGTGTATTTCATAACATCCAAAGATTTAGTGTTCCGACAAATTTCTTGTGTTCAAAAACATGGCAGAGAGTCAGCTCGGACGCAAGATACAAGCAGTTCGCTGTGATAATGGGCATGAGTTTGTTAATAAACATTTTGACAATTTGTTTCAGGAAAATGCCATTGTACGGCAGTTAACCGTCCCCTACAGCCCGCAGTAGAACGGCGTGGCAGAGCGAGCCAACAGAACACTTGTAGAAATGGCCAGGAGTTTGCTTATCCACTCAATCGGTCACCAACAGCAGCTCTCGTTGGAATCACTTGGAGTGGCAGGAACAGGGGCGTAGCTACCGCCGTATACACCGTATCAATTATACGGGGCCCCGGGCCAAGGGGGCCCCCAAAGTGTGTAAGAGTGAATATTTAAAATTTGATTTTTATACCCTTGCAGAGCAAAAGGGTATTATAATTTCAGTCAGAAGTTTGCAACGGAGTGAAGGAGACACCTCAGACCCCATAAAGTATATATATTCTTGATCAGCATCACCATCTGAATCGAAATATGTATGTACGTCTGTCCGTCTGTCCGTCTGTCCGTCTGTCCGTTTCCGCGCAAACTAGTCTCTCAGTTTTAAAGCTATCGTGCTGAAACTTTCCCAAAAGTTGTATAGTTGTTGCACGCAGTATATAAGTCGGAACGGGCCGGATCGGCCGACTATATCGGATAGCTCCAATACAAGAGAATGAAATTAAAAATTCTCACTCTGTTGTTTTTGATCAGATCGACTTGAATTCTTCAAGATGGCGTTTTCTAACTGTTATTGAATTTCGGATTAAATTTGAACAAAATCGGATAACTCTATCATATAGCTGCCATAGGACAGATCAAGAAATATATATAGAATTAATGGAAATAAATTGATAGCATCGTTGTTTTTTATCCCACGAGCATGATTTTTTGAATATCAAGTTTTTTAACAACCCTTATATTGAGAAAAAGTTTCATAAAAATCGGACAACTATATCTTATAGGTGCCATAGGAAAGATCGAAAAATCTATATAGAAATAACGGAAATAAAATTATAACATCGTTGGTTTTTATTTGATAAGCATGATTTTTGAAATTTAAAGTTTTCTAACGACTCTTCAATTACGAATTAAATTTGATGAAAATCGGACAACTATATCATATAGCTCCCATATGATCTATAGTCGAAAATATGGAAAATGAATAGAAAAATCGTCTTAGCTTCGATGTTGTTTAGCGTTTATGTATTTTTTTCGCCATATTTGATGACTGCAAGGGTATATAAGCTTCGGCTTGCCGAAGCTAGCTTCCTTTCTTGTTATTTGTAAAATGGGTAAATAATGTGATAAATAAATATTTCTTCTTACAATATTTTTTATACCCTTGCAGAGCAAAAGGGTATTATAATTTCAGTCAGAAGTTTGCAACGTAATGAACACCTCAGACCCCATAAAGTATATTTATTCTTGATCAGCATCACGAGTAGAATCAGAATACGTCTGTCCGTCTGTCCGTTTCCGCGCAAACTAGTCTCTCAGTTTTAAAGCTATCTTGCTGAAACTTTCCCAAAAGGTGTGTAGTTATTGCACGCAGTATATAAGTCGGAACGGGCCGGATCGGGGGACTATATCGGATAGCTCCCATACGAGAGAATGAAATAAAAAATTCTCACGCCGTTGTTTTTTATCAGATCGAATTGAATTCTTTAAGATGTTATTGAATTTCGGATAAAATTTGATCAAAATCGGATAACTCTATCATATAGCTGTCATAGGAGCGATCGAAAAATATAAATAGAATTAATGGAAATAAATTGATAACATCGTTGTTTTTTATCCCACGACCATGATTTTTTGAATATCAAGTTTTTAAAAACTCTTATATTGAGAAAAAAGTTTCATAAAAATCGGACAACTATATCTTATAGCTGCCATACGAAAGATCGAAAAATCTATATAGAAATAACGGAAATAAAATTTTAACATCGTTGTTTTTCATTCTAACGATTCTCGAATACCGAATTAAATTTCATCAAAATCAGACGACCATATCATATAGCCGTCATTTGAACAATAGTCAAAAATATAGAAAATGAATAGAAAAATCGTCTTAGCTTCGATGTTGTTTAGCCGTTATGTAATTTTTTCGACATATTTGATGACTGCAAGGGTATAAAAGCTTCGGTTTGCCGAAGCTAGCTTCCTTTCTTGTTTTCTTTTGTGAAAAATCTTTACCTCCATATAAGGGCTTCCAAAAATTTTTTATACGGGGCCCCGACAAGGCACGCTACGCCACTGGGCAGGAAACCCAATGTGAGTCATTTGTGTGTTTTTGGATCATTGGCAGTAGGACTAGATAAAGGTCACCGCGGTAAATTCAAGGCCCAAGGAATGGAATATCGATTCGTTGGATATTCACTGGAGTCCAAAGGGTACAGGTTGTACGATCAGGTGACGCAGCAAGTCGTTGTTAAACGCGACGTATTATTCAAGGAAATTCAAGCATTTCCAGCAGTACAAGTTTCGACAAGGGATCCAGCAAATGTACTTAAAGTGGAGTCCCAGCGCGATGGTGATGAACAGCAAAAAGACAGCGAATATGAAGTACTCAGAGGAAACCGCAGCGCAGATGAAAACGGACGAGGCAAAGATCGCGACCAGCATGATGGGGAGCAGGAACACCATGAAGGAGAGGCTGGCAGAATCGGGCCAGGGAGACCTAGAATCATTCGGACCGGCAAGTCGGGGCGACCAGGAAAGGAATATAAAGTTGTCAATGCTATGACCAGTGCAGATATTCCACTTCCGCAAGGCTGCGATGAAGCGCTACGCAGCCAGCAAGCTACATTTTGGAAGGCAGCCATGAAGTCGGAGTATGACTCGCTCGTGGCGAATAACACATGGACCGTAAGCGAGTTGCCCATGGCACAAAAGGCAATCGGATGTCGATGGGTTTTCACCATAAAAAGAGACAGCGAAGGCAATCCCGAGCGGTATAAATCGCGTCTGGTACCGAAGGGTTGTTCCCAGAAATACGGAATTAATTATGGAGAAACTTTCTTACCGGTGTGTCGCTATGAGACAATCCGCCTAGTATTGGCGCTATCAGCGGAGTCACTTAACCAGATGGATGTGTGCACAGCCTACCTCAACAGTGATTTGAGCTAGACTGTGTATATGAAACAGCCAAAGAATTTCGAGGATGAAGCGTGTAAGAACAAGGTTCTGAGGCTCAACAAGGCAATATATGGGCTAAAACAGTCAAGCCGCCAGTGGAACGCTACCTTGGATGCAGCACTTCGAGAAATCGGATTCGTACCCTGTCAATGTGAAGCATGCTTGTACAAGCAGGACATAAATGGTAACTTGTGTCTTGTACTAATTTACTTCGATGATCTTCTTTCAGCGTGTCAAAACAAAATGGACCTGATGTAGATCAAGTCAAAGATAGCTTCGAAATTTGGATGTGTGGACAAAGGACGGCTAAGCATGTTTTTGGGCATGCAAATTGAACGCGAAGGCGAGTTGGGCAGTATAACGATGAACCAGACGTTATATATCAAGGATATGCTGCAGCGACATGGACTGGAGCAGTGCAGGCAGACAGCGACAACCTTAGACCCAGGATTTCAGGTGGTATGCATCAACGAACATTGCGTTGCTCAGAATCCAACTGCATATCAGTCTGCTATAGGAGAATTAATGTGGCTAGCATTAACCTCAAGGCCAGATTTTTACCATGCTGTCGTGAAGCTGGCACAACGAAATAAGGATGCTCATGATAAACATGTTTTGGGCGTCAAGCAAGTAATGCGGCACTTGGCAGGAACGGCCACCAACAAGTTGAGCTATTGCGCAGGAGATTCGGCTTTAGTGGGCTACGTTGATGCCGACTGGGCCGGTGACCTACGATCGTATACAGGATATGTTTTCCTTTTATCAGGAGGACCCAATTCTTGGAAGTCGGAAAAGCAGACATTCTCCTCAATAGCACGGAGGCAAAGCTGAGGCTATTGCTAAAAGTATGTACAGAGAAAATAGTTAACAAAATATTGTTAAAAACAAAATCGTAGATTTTTGCTTGTTTTTTGATCTCCTTTTTTTTTGGTAATATTATCATCGCGACCAAAAAAATAACGCAATCAGTCATTTGGGACAGGCTATATAGTCTAAACCCTACTGGCAATATATGCACAACTCCAAATTTGAGGGTAGCTCGGCGGCCGAATTCGCCTGAGTGAGAAAGCTTTATTAAGCCCCGATCCCCGCTTTACATTAAACCAAGAGAAATCTCCAAACACCGCCCCCTCTGAAGGGACGACGTCCTTCAGGACAACGTCGGTAGGAGAGCCAAACGATGGATCCCTCGCCTAAACGTCCCCTTTGCCGTCTTGACGTCCGCCACTCAGACCTTCCCATCAGCGCCGACGTGCACCGCTACTACGCGCCCGATCCTCCACTGCTGGGGCGGCAGATTGTCCTCGCCGACGACGACGAGCGCTCCCACGTCGACGTTTTGGATCTTCACAACAGGCCGGGCTGATCTGGTCCGGGAGTGCCGAGGGTGGTGGAGCGATCAGCGGGCCGCCGATCAGGAGATGTCCGGGGGTTACAGCTTCGCCGTCGCTGGGGTCGTTGCTTAGCGCTCCGATGGGCCCTAAGTTCAGCACAGCCTCCACGCTGGTGAGGAGAGTTCCGAGCTCCTCCGCGGTCAAGAGGTCGTGACCGACCGTCCGAAGGAACAGATGCTTTGCAGACTTCACACCTGCTTCCCACAGACCGCCGAAGTGAGGTGCTCTGAGCGGTATGAACGCAAACTCGCATCCTTTTTTTGATGCGAATTTTCGTATACCGCCCTTCTGCTCCTCCAGACGGGCCCGGAACTCTCTCAGGTGACGATTTGCGCCGACGAAATTGGTCGCGTTGTCGCACCACACCTTTTCCGGAATCCCGCGACGACTCACGAACCTTTGAAATGCCGATAAAAATGTATCAGTGGTAAGGTCAGACACTAACTCTAAGTGGACCGCTTTAGGCGCAAAACACACAAACAAGGACACATATGACTTGTACGGTGGTTTACCACGGATGCGATATGTAGTGCTAAATGGCCCACAAAAATCGGTATTAAAGGGGCGGAGAGCTCGGAGTCTGTCTGATGGAAAGTTCCCCATATTTTGCGTCAAGAGTTGCGGCTTGCATCGAAAGCAGCGCATGCACGAACGAACGGTTCGGCGACATCATCTTGAGCATTGACCAACCAGATTTTCTCTCGCAGGAGACTCACAAGAGCTCGAGGACCAGCGTGAAAATTCGTAACGTGCAGATACGACACGTAAGTTTTAACGAACTGGGAGTTTTGCGTTAGCAAAAACGGAAATTTGGCTTCGTACGGGATAGGAGCATTCAATAACCGACCACCAACTCGCAATAATGTGGAAGAGCACCAATCTAATTTATTTTTCTGCACAAAAGGGATTTAGCTTTTGAATCTGCGTTGATACCGGTTTCTTTTTCCGAATTTTGCCTATGCCGTCACTGAATTCGTGAGATTGGATGACTTCTACAATTTTCTCGAACGCAAAATTCAGTTCTCTTGGCGTAATGCTTTTTTCGACAGGCTGTAAAACTTTCTTACACCTCCAAATAAATCTTAAAACCCACACGATACTCTCAGCAGCTTCAGGTGTGACGAAAAGGACTCGATTTTCCGAAGCAAGTAGTTGGGCTCTGGTGTAACAACAAGAGTTAACGCCGACTTGCGTAACTCACTCGATACGACTTCTGAAGGGAGTTCGAGGTGTTGATTTACAGGCCAATTACTTTCTGTGTCAAGTAAAAATGACGGGCCAGCGAACCAAATGGACGTTAAAAAATCTTCAACGTCACATCCTCGAGACACTATGTCCGCTGGATTAACTTTCGTGGGAACATGTCGCCAAATTGCATTCTCCGACCACTCTTGGATCTCTGCTACTCGGTTTGAGACGAAAACGGACAGCGGCGACGGATGAGTTTTGATTTAATGCAGAGTGATCTCGGAGTCGGTCCATAGGACCACTTTTTTAATAGGGCAATTTAGTAATGGCCTTACACGGTTAAGAAGATCTGCTAAAAGGTGAGCTGCACACAGCTCAAGGCGAGGCAAAGTTTTCGTCTTGAGGGGAGCTACTTTGGATTTGGCCGTCAGTAATGACACTTTTAAACCTTCAGCAGTTTGAGTGCGAACGTAGATGCACGCTCCATATGCTCGCATGGAAGCATCAGCGAAACCGTGTATTTCAATCGGGACTTGCGGATCTGTATGACAAATCGCGATACCTCGACATTGGGCAGTTGCAGCACAGTTGCTATGAAGGCTTCCCACGACGTTTGTAGCTGCATCGGTAGCGACTCGTCCCAATCTAATTTTCGAAGCCACAGCTCCTGTAAAAGCATCTTTGCCTTTGTGACCAAAGGACACAACATGCCCAGTGGATCAAAAAGTCTCGCAGTCACGGAGAGTATGTTTTGTTTTGTCGGTCGAAGATCCTGGAAAGAGTCATCCAACCGAAATAGGAAGTAATCTTTGCCAGGTAACCAAACCACTCCAAGGGTTTTAGTTACATCTGAGTCAGCCAATAATGGCATGATAGCGCTGTCAGATGCGGAGATCTCGGGGCAGTTTGAAAACCACTTTGCCAATTCGAAACCTGCCTCTTGCAAAACCTGCGAAACTTCACCACGAAGCTTTGCAGGTTCTCAACGCATCCGGCGCCTGTCAACAAATCGTGAACATAAAAATCTTTCTGAATGACCTTTGCGGCATTTGGATACTTAGCTTGCGTCAACTCTGCAAGCCGCATTAAACACCGGATTGCCATGAAGGGTGCTGGCGATGTTCCATATGTCACGGTATTTAGCCTGAAGATCTTCAGAGACTCAGAAAGATCTCGTCTCCACACTATGAGCTGAAAGTTTCGGTCAGCTTCGTCCACCATCACTTGGCGACACATCTTTCTAATGTCCGCTGCAAGGGCGAACCTGTGCATTCTGAACCGAAGTAGCGTCGAATACAGCTCCTCTTGAATAGTGGGGACTACCATCAATATGTCATTCAACGCAACCTGCGTCGATGTGCGGCTTGAGGCATCGAATACCACTCTCAACTTGGTTGAGGTGCTTTGAGGCCGCAGCACGCACTGGTGCGGAATGAATTAGTGTGGACCATCTGGAATTCTATTATCAGTAGAAGACATATGGCCCATTGACGCATATTCCTCCATGAAGTCCAGATACATTTTTTTTAATGAAGGATCTTTGGACAATCTCCTTTCCAGCGACAAAAATCTACGTTTCGCAACGTCATACGAAGAACCAAGAGAATTCGGGTCAGATTTGAACGGCAGACGAACCGAAAATCTCCCGGACGACAGTCTTTGAGTATTCTTCTCAAAGTGTTGTTCACAAAGTTGCTGCTCAGGAGTATGGACTTTAGCCTTAGGTGGCAAGTCCTCCACAGACCAAAACTTCTGCAGGGTTGTGTCGATTGACTCCAACGCTTCCTCCTGACAGCTGATATGTACCGAATTTTCAGCCTTAATTTTGGTTTCCGAGGTACATCTCCCTGACACAATCCAGCCGAGAACAGTTTTTTGCAAGATGGGAAGTTCAGGCCCCTGCTTATCTTTATTTCAAAAAATGAATCTGCGCCGATAAGCATCTCTATTTTTTGGGGCTTAAAGAAGAATGGATCTGGCAATTTAATATTTTCAGGCACCCTCCACCCGCTGGTGTTCACCGCTTGATCCGGATGATAACCTGAAATATTCTTTAAAATATAAAAATCGGACGACAACTGGCTGCTCCCTACTCGCGACTTCACTATTGTATGTATTTTCTTTGTTGCTTGGGCATTAGTTTCACCAATGCCCCGCAAGCTCATACACACATCCTCTCTTTTAATTTGTAGTCTCTGAGCGAGGTCGTCGGTCACAAAATTTATTTGTGAACCAGAGTCAAGCAACGCTCGAGCCACAACAAATTCGCCACTTTTCGATAATACGCTCACGATAGCTGTGGCAAGAATGACTCTATCCCAAGCAGTCGCATGCAAAACATGTGAAGTGGATGGAGTCTCTTCCATGAGCGTAGGCTGAGGAGGAGGGGGCAACGCGAGATTTGTCTTAGGCGAGTATATGTGCAGCAAAGTGTGGTGTGAGGATTTGCACACCCTGCACCTGTTCGTTTTGCATTTTTTGACACTGTGACCCTTGCGAAGGCAGTTGATGTATAAGGGCACTTTTTTGGCAAAATCGAACCTCTGCTGCACTGTTAGAGCTGCGAACAAAGCGCAGTTTCCTATTTCATGCTCTGCTGATGTGCAAAGCACACATAGGGAAGGGTCATCCCTGGCAGCGATCAATGAAAAACTTTTGTTTCCACTCTTCTTCGGAAAAGTCTGGCTTGCCTGAACATTTTTCGGCTTGGAAGCCTCTTCGGCGACCATGTGCTGGTATCGGCTGTCCAGAGCCGACTCACATTCCCTCCAAAGCGGAAGCGACGTATAGTCCAACTGTTCTTCCCACTTTCTCTTTGTTCCTAAATCGACTTTGCTCATGATTAAATGAATGAGGATGGCATTCGATATTCGTTTGTCATCCCCCATAAACAGCAACCAGTCATAAAGAGCTCTGACTGTGTCGATCATGATCTGGCAGCTAAAGAAAAGTGCAGTGTACCAAAAGTGAATGAAATAAGAAAAGGCAATGCAAGTGAAACCAAAAGAAATCAAAAGGTTTGAGAAGCATTGGAAAAAAATAAGAGAACTGAAAGTGATCTAAAATCAAAAAAAATTTTTCTCCCCTCAATTCGTCGAAAGCGCTTTCGTCCGACTGGAAATGGAGCGGTAGGTCTTTTTAAAGCTATTATCACTGTTTCAGAAACCTTTTATAATTAAAGTCTTGCTGCCGAAATACAAAATCTTAAATGAAACGAAAAGAAACGAAATTTTAACGTAAAGAAGAAAA